CTTGCGCAAGTACTATTACTTAATAAACTACCCGTTATTCAATCTAGATCTGACTCCACACTGCATTCAGCTTTATGGTTGTTTGATAATTTTGTTCAACGTGTTTTGATTATATTTGTCTCCTTCCCCCACCTTTTCTCAGATCCACTCCCCTCCTTCCCACCCAACTTTGTGGGTATTTGTTTGTTTTTAAACCACCAAGATCAATTTGTGCTGCCCCAATATTCCTCAGTGTGTGCTCTTCCACTGGGGCATGGCCAGCTTAGCAGGGGCCACACTCTCATCAACACACTCTCCCTCTCCCAGCTAACAGTTGTCAGTGATTCCAGGGCTAGGGATGGGATTTCATGCTTGACTCAGCTAAACAGGGAACTTGAAACCCACCTGCCCCCTCCAAACTGGGATGTGCTATGATCAAGCCACATTTTAAGAAGTTAAATTTGTTCTTTGGCAAGTTTACACATGTGAGTGCTTGCCCTCTGTTTCTGATTGCAGTACATATTCTTTATTAAAATACTTATCAGTTCCTGTCTAGTAAATATGTTTATCCCCATGCTGGTCATTCCCAGCATAATTGAGGCAGGAGAATTGCCCCGATTTCAAGTCTGAGTTATACAGTTCTAGACCAGACTAAACTACAGTTAAGACTCTCCCTAAAAAGGAGTGGGATATACAATCAAATAATATGTCATTTAAGATTTCCAAGTAGCCATCATGTTCTTAAGAAACAGTAAAGAGTAAGTAAGATTAACTTAAAAGTATCATTTCAAGATGTCTTACATCCCCTTATCAAAGTCTCTAAGATGCAGTGTGCACATCTGGAGCCAGGTACTAAAATGTTACTAGAAATGCTTTATCTGTGTTTGGACTGCATACAATTTAAAGTTAAAAAGTAAATTCACATACCCAGGTTCTCCTAAACATACTTAGTTTCCAGATAATAGAAATTAATAGTGTTAGACCCCCAGAAAAATCAACTATCCGGGGTCCCAGGCCACGTTCTCGGTCACTCCAATCTCCAACGAGCTAACCCCATGTTAGCTCGGGTCTTTCACCCACCCGCCATGGCTGATGGCTAGCAAAAGACGGCTCCTAGGGCCTCCCAAGAGATCTTATAGGACAGCGAAAGGGGAGTATCTAGGGGTTCGCACAGGCTCACGATTGGTGTGCCTCCAGGCTTGGAGGACTTGCCCTGTGTTGATTGGTCAACTGGTTGTTATGGCCCATAGGCCCTCCCAGGGTGATTGCTATGCTCTCTACGTCATTGCTGTGCGCTTGTCCGTAAAGCACACCCTGAGTCATAAAGCATAGCGCCACCAGCTAACTTCTGATTGGTTCCTTGTCACGAGGCAGGCATCTGACCTCTAAGTGACCAAGGCAAGTTTATGGCAAGCACGTGTTAGGCTGTTATGGCTGCCGAAAGGGGAGCAGGTCCCTTCAATAGTTTCTAAATTTACCTTGAAAAGTAATTAGTTTCTCCACATTTTTAGTATTAGTGGCTGCCACACTGGGAGAAGCAGGGCTGTCAGGTGAGTTTCTAGTAGCGTGTATCTACAATTCTGGTATTATTAATACAAGGTACCAGGTGGTTTTCTGGGGAAACACGTGACCCTAATTTTCACCTGCCTTGATAGGACATATTCTCCCCACCCCCTCTCTCCTGCAACATATTTGCCTGGTTCTCACACTGGCTCCTTCCTAATGTCCTCCATCTAACTGGGGTGGGGGTGGTATTCTGACCCCCTGGCTAGGTGCAGTAAGATTAGCAACAGGAATATCAGCTGGTAGCCACCCTGAACCTGTCCCCTCCAATCAATGTCACAAACACATGAACAATAGG